AAGTCGGCCATTTTGGTCGGATAGCTAATTAAAGTCGGCCATTTTGGTTGGATGGCTAATTACTTTGTTATTGATATTATTTGCATTGACAGTTGTCATGCCAACTGGTAAATGATAATTTGAAAATAATTTTACAAATGCTGTTTCCGGATAATAAAATATTTTGCAATTTTTGCTTTACATGATAAAGCGTTTTAAAAAATGTGAAATTACATGTGGCATTGATTTCTTAATCTTGGGTCTAAATCCGCATAGAGCTCATGTTATCCTGAAAAGTGAAATATCTTGATAAATACTGAAAAGATGATATTTGATGAATAAAATTTACAAATCTTTAGAGATAGTTTGATGTTTTAGTGTGAAAATCAAAATTAGCAAGATAAATGGTACCAATCAAAAACCTGGGGGGGGGTTCACTGTAAACTTGGAATCACAAATCTTTCCAATGAATCAGATGTATGAAAAAAGCTTGATTGTAGACTATGTTCTCTAAAACATTATACAAATAGGTGATTTACTAATCTTTAGAGATAGTTTGATATTCATAGAGTGAAAATCAAAATAAGCAAGATAAGTGGTTTTCCCAACCACACAAAAACCTAAGAATCATAAATCTTTCCAATGAATCCGATGTATAAAATAAGCTTGATATGAGACTATGTTCTCTAAAAAGTTATACAGGTAACAAAACTTAAAAGGCCGTCAGACTCTTTGTTATTTTAAGACAAATATAATCAGAGCAATCAGACATCCTTATTAAATTCTTGACTGTGCTTCTTAACATTTAGAAAAAACATTACACAAGGTTTGATGCCTGTTTTATCTACTATTTTTGCCTGTAATTTTATCTTATATTCAGGCATATGCATCACATAAGACCAAGTAGTCTCTTGTGTATTTAAAAAATTAAATTATTTTTTCATTTTTATAATTACACGAGTTATTCCAATATTCCAAAGCATTTGAATCTAACTTCAGTCCAGACTTATATTTGATTAAACCCCCCTCCCTTCCACCAGTACATTAATCTAGATATCAACAAAACTAAAAAAAAGACTTAACAGAAACAGAAATAAATAATTATTTAAATTTCAGTAAATGATATTCAGTAATGTTTAACTTGCACACAATTTTGAATGATGACAAATTGTTCAGTCCTAACTTCAATCCAAACTAATATTTGATTTTGGTTTGATTTGATTCTACCAGAACATCAATCTAGATATCAATAGAAACTGAAATAAAGACTTCAATTTCAGTAAATGTTATTCAGTAGTCTCTGTTTTACTTGCACATAACAATGAATTATGCCAAAGCACTCAGCCCTTACTTTGGTCCATGGGCTCTGTTTGGTAGAGCCCATGTTCAGTCCAGACTAATATTTGGGTTATCCCCTCCCTCCTTCTACTAGTACACCAAAAATTAAGGCTTATTTCAATTTCAGTATAAGTTAACATTTTAGTTTTCTTTGAAAATGTGACTTCTAGGTCAGAGAGATTCCCTATTGACCCCATGTTATAAAATCACATAAAGTGAAATATCTATTCTAGGGTTGGACAGATAATATTTTCTTTTACTGGACATATTTTCAATATTGTATAATTATGAGACACATAAGGGTTAGACGAAAACTGATCCACTAAAACTGATGATTATTCTTATATACCTGCCATGTTAATTGACACAAGAGTTTTGTTACAAAGTTTAGAAAACTGATTTGACTCATTAGAAATATACATGTCCACACTTGTGATTTTTTAAGAATACAAATGATCACACTTCCCCCACCCCCTGGCTTAGCCAATGCTAATAACAAGACATATTTAATACATGGTAGAAACGTGAAAATGTCTAATATGCTCTAAAACAACTACTAGTTATATATATATGTCATTATAGACAAGTAATATAAAAAAATTCTAATCAATCTCAATAAGCTGATATTCAAAAGTTTAAAGTTCCATGACTTTTCTTTTGGTAATATCTAATAGTTTACATTGCTTCAATTAAATGTGTTGCATTGTCAGCCATTTTGGTCGGATGGCTAATTAAAGTCGGCCATTTTGGTCGGATAGCTAATTAAAGTCGGCCATTTTGGTTGGATGGCTAATTACTTTGTTATTGATATTATTTGCATTGACAGTTGTCATGCCAACTGGTAAATGATAATTTGAAATAATTTTACAAATGCTGTTTCCGGATAATAAAATATTTTGCAATTTTTGCTTTACATGATAAAGCGTTTTAAAAAATGTGAAATTACATGTGGCATTGATTTCTTAATCTTGGGTCTAAATCCGCATAGAGCTCATGTTATCCTGAAAAGTGAAATATCTTGATAAGTACTGAAAAGATGATATTTGATGAATAAAATTTACAAATCTTTAGAGATAGTTTGATGTTCTAGTGTGAAAATCAAAATTAGCAAGATAAATGGTACCAATCAAAAACCTGGGGGGGGGGGGGGTTCACTGTAAACTTGGAATCACAAATCTTTCCAATGAATCAGATGTATGAAAAAAGCTTGATTGTAGACTATGTTCTCCAAAACAATATACAAAAAGGTGATTTACTAATCTTTAGAGATAGTTTGATATTCATAGAGTAAAAATCAAAATAAGCAAGATAAGTTTTCCCAACCACACAAAAACAAATTCATAAATCTTTCCAATTAATCAGATGTACAAAATAAGCTTGATATGAGGCTATGTTCTCTAAAAAGTTATATAAGTAACAAAACTTAAAAGGCCGTCAGACTCTTTGTTATTTTAAGACAGTTTAATCAGAGCAATCAGACATCCCAATCAAATTCAATAGACTAGGTGTGAGTAGAAATAATCTTTATTTACATCATTAAAAATTCTGTCAAACTGATATCATATTTGGAATCTACATGTAAGATTACATCTAGAAATGTGGTTTTGAAAAGAGTTTATCAACTTTGAAAATTTAATTTTCTTTGAAAATGTGACTTCTAGGTCAGGGAGATTCCCCATAGACCCCATGTTGTAAAATCACAAAAAGTTAAATATCTTTTCTTGTGTTGGGCAGATAACATTTTCCTTTATTTTTATATTTTTAGTATAGTTCTGATTCTATTCTCTTAAGATTCTGATAATCATATGTCTTATGTCTCTTAAAGCTAGAAGAAAACAAATATACAAGTAATTGTTTTCACTAAAGAATGTTGTGATAATAAGTTAAAGGATTATTAAAGGACTAAAGGATTATTAATTCATGGTCCTGATTTTAAGTCTTCTGTTACTCTAAATTGAATGGCGGTAATTGCATTGTCTACCTGGTCACTGTCATCAAGGACCTAGACAGGATATGTCTGGTCATGTATGACTGTTAATGTTATGATAGGGATTAAGGTCCAATAACATAGACTTTACATGTATCTCACTTATTTCAATTTCAATGAATGTTATTCAGTAGCTTTTGTTTTACTTGCACACAATTTTGAATTATGCCTTATTCAGTCTTTACTTCAGTCCAGACTTATAGTCCCTGAGCTGATTTTTCTAAGAGCTCTAGATAAGGAGTTTGTTGTCCGGGTGTCAGCCACAAAAACCAACTCCTCCATAGTGTTCTTACATATATGGTCCACACTGGGTTATGGTATGTTTTTCTGGTAACAGGGGCTTTCATTTAGAAAATGATGTATTGACCTAACATGGGGATATATCCACTATAGACTTATCATAGGGATATCATCATATTCCAAAGTCATCATAGATATTTGTTTGGGTAAAGTTTCTGTCACCCTGTACCTTTTATACATGCCACATTACCCTTTTTGAAGCATTAGACAGTGTTTCCTATTACTGAAACACCAAAACATTGGGCCATGCAGATTTTTACTATTGCAGACGTTTGCACCCTTTGGGTACCATCTTATTGACATTTTTCAAATTATGTTCTCTTGCTAATCTAAAGTACTTAGGGATAACAGTACTTTGAAACAAAATTTCATTTTTTAGGAGCAGCTCAGGGACTATTATGTTTGGACATCCCATGTAATACATGAACTCTAAATCGAATGTTATACTTAATTACTGATAATAAAACAGGTTACCTTTACCTTGGTCCAAGATAAGGTTACCTGGATTCATTTTTGCAAAGATATAATTCATAATTTTGCTTCAATTTGGAAAAGTACATATGGTATATATTTTGGATTAATTGATTGATCTCCAAAAGGTTAACTTTTACCCCTCTTCAATATAGTTGTAATTACATTGTGGACATGCATTAACATCAACATTTTTTCAGGCATACTTCTACGGTCATTCACTGAATTTGAACTCATGATGGTTGCAATAGTTGCAATTGTAAAAATGTTCAATGTTTGAATGCGACCATTGCAACCATTGCAGATTTCAATGAGTAATGGTTGTAGATGGTTGCATTTAAAAATGCAATGATCGCATGTTAATGGTTGCTTAACCATTGCACATTGTGAAATTCTAATGGTTACAGCCAATGGTTGCACAATGATTGCATGTCATTTTGCAATGGCTTTTCCTTTGATCTAAATGGTTGAAGCAATCATTAATCGATGATTGCTTGCGATGGTTTGTTTTCGGAATTTCAAGGTCGGATTTTTTATAAGGGCAGGTCGAAAATCTCAATAAAATAAATTGATTTCTCTGAAACAATGAAAAAAGTGTTTAAAAAGATATTATAAACCAGAGAGTAGAACTTACATAGAGCTTTGTTTTTGTTTCTCATACAAATATAGATATTTAGAATGCAGAATGCAAACTTCCTTAAAAATTTAATCATGTGTTAAATATCCATGATCCTCTGTTTCTTAATGTATACCAAAACAGAATAATGCAGCAAAGTGTTAGTTAGCATACTTTATACTCAAAAGTATATGAATACCATATTTGTATTTTATTCCACTGAGCATGTAATATTACAGAGACACCCACAATTTCTAAATGCTATATTTTATTTGAAATGTATTAACTTTGATAGTATGTCACTTTCAGATGTTTCTATGAGCCATTGGAAAGCCAACCAAGTGTTAGCATGGCTGGAGATCACTATGTGTATGCCTAGCTATGGGAAAAAATGCATAGAAAATGTGAAAAGTGGCAAGGTAATATACATACGAGTAATATAATGAAGGTCAAGGTTTCTCTCAAATGGGCCATTATTTTATATATCTTATGAAAATTTTAAATCTTAAAACTTTTTTCGGATTTTATTGATCAACCTGATCTAACAAACTCATATGCATAACACATCATGTACATATTGTTGACGTCACTACAGCTATTTTATTTAAATGTCACATTGCAGGTTCTGCTTGGTCTAAGTGACTCGGAGCTAGAATCAGCGTTAGGGATCAACAGCTATTTACACAGGCGGAAACTGCGCCTAGCCATAGAGGAATACAGGGACCCTACTTCAAGGTACAGGGTGATTCAATAAAATGCAATTTTCTTATTTTGGAACAGCTTCCTCATGATAGAATTTCCATTGTCTTGTGTGGTTTAGTGTTCAGTGTGTGAAATAGTTACATGCCCTTAGTCAGCTTTTGCCAAGGGGGTTCACTTTTGACAATTTTGATCCAAAAATATATCAATTAAAGATGCCAATTTAAAATATTTTGCTAACTTTGCAAGATGAATGTTTTTTGTTAGTTCCAAAGATCCCTTCCCATCTCTCTCTAAGATGAACAAACGTTGCTGGTTCACAATAATGTTCATCATATAGGGGATTAATTGTGTTCTTATATATGAGATAAAATGTAATGAAACTTTATTTACAGTAAGTTTCCAAAGGCTTCCACTATTGACCACACATGGGTGTCATTAAAGTGGCTACATGACATAGGTTTACCACAATACAGCACTGTGTTCGAAACCCTTCTCATAGATGGCAGGGTGCTCAATACATTACAAAAGAAACATATCGAGAAACATCTGAACGTCCATCGCAAGTTTCATCAATCTAGTCTCCTACATGGTGTTGAGCTGTTGAGAAGGCTCAACTTTGACAAAGAGGTAAGTTTATAATCCGGAGTATACAACGTGTGTACAATGAATAAATAAATTCTAGGAAATGAGTGGAACAGGAGGAGGCTGATTGGGGCTTCATTTAATATTTTGGTGTTATTTCTGTATTAGCTCACATATGTAGAACCTATCCATCAGTCTATTAAGTCCCTTTGTCTGCATCTCTCAGCTTGTCAATAGATTCCCGAATTATCCCTGAATTAATGATGCCTATGATGCTTTTGATGGGGTATATAATCATACTTTCATGCTTGTTTTGGAGAATCAAACATTGCAGCTCTTTCAGATTAAACAGGGATCTGTCGGTTCAGATATTCTTATTCCTAAACAAAAGTATGGGAAACAAAATTAAAAGAGCATACAAAGTTCTCTTTAAAAGGAAGAACTGAAGAGGGGATGCGTACCCCAACTACCCCTTCCCCAAAGCCTACCCCAACTCTTCAATCATATGTTGAGAATATATTAATCCAAACCTGTCCAATTAATTACATATACTGTACATATTCATTTCGCTTTCCCACCCTATTTTAAAACAAGGATATATTAAATAACAGCTCGTTGATATGATGATATATATATTCTAGGCATTGCTGGCTCGAAGGAAGGCATGTGAGAACTCAGACTTTGACCCAATTGTCTGGAGTAACCAGAGAGTCGTCAAGTGGATTAACAGTATAGACCTACAGGTATGTCAAAAGTATAAAGTTACAGGTTTGTCAAAAGTATAGACCTACAGGTATGTCAAAAGTATAAAGTTACAGGTTTGTCAAAAGTATAAAGTTACAGGTTTGTCAAAAGTATAGACCTACAGGTATGTCAAAAGTATAGACCTACAGGTATTTCAAAAGTATATACCTACAGGTATGTCAAAAGTATAGACCTACAGGTATGTCAAAAGAATAGAGCTACAGGTATTTCAAAAGTATAGACCTACAGGTATGTCAAAAGTATATACCTACAGGTATGTCAAAAGTATAAAGTTACAGGTTTGTCAAAAGTATAGACCTACAGGTATGTCAAAAGTATAAAGTTACAGGTTTGTCAAAAGTATAAAGTTACAGGTTTGTCAAAAGTATAAAGTTACAGGTATGTCAAAAGTATAGACCTACAGGTATGTCAAAAGTATAGACCTACAGGTATTTCAAAAGTATATACCTACAGGTATGTCAAAAGTATAGACCTACAGGTATGTCAAAAGTATAGACCTACAGGTATTTCAAAAGTATAGACCTACAGGTATGTCAAAAGTATATACCTACAGGTATGTCAAAAGTATAGACCTACAGGTATGTCAAAAGTATAGACCTACAGGTATGTCAAAAGTATAGACCTACAGGTATGTCAAAAGTATAGACCTACAGGTATGTCAAAAGTATAAAAGTACAGGTATGTCAAAAATATAAAGTTACAGGTATGTCAAAAGTATAAAGTTACAGGTATGTCAAAAGTATAAAGATACAGGGATGTCAAAAGTATATACCTACAGGAATGTCAAAAGTATAGAGTTAATGGTATGTTAAAAGTATAGACCTAGGTATGTCAAAAGTACAAAGTTACAGGTATGTCAAAAGTATAAAGTTACAGGTATGTCAAAAGTATAAAGATACAGGGATGTCAAAAGTATATACCTACAGGAATGTCAAAAGTATAGAGTTAATGGTATGTTAAAAGTATAGACCTAGGTATGTCAAAAGTACAAAGTTACAGGTATGTCAAAAGTATAAAGTTACAGGTATGTCAAAAGTATAAAGATACAGGGATGTCAAAAGTATATACCTACAGGAATGTCAAAAGTATAGAGTTAATGGTATGTTAAAAGTATAGACCTAGGTATGTCAAAAGTACAAAGTTACAGGTATGTCAAAAGTATAAAGTTACAGGTATGTCAAAAGTATAAAGATACAGGGATGTCAAAAGTATATACCTACAGGAATGTCAAAAGTATAGAGTTAATGGTATGTTAAAAGTATAGACCTAGGTATGTCAAAAGTACAAAGTTACAGGTATGTCAAAAGTGTAGAGTTACAGCTATGTCAAAAGTATAGACCTACAGGTATGTCAAAAGAACAAAGCTACAGGTATCTCAAAAGTATAGAGTTACGGGTATATCACAATTTACAGATATGTCCATATACATGTAGTATTATAGACCTTGGGTACAACATTCTCAGCTACAACAACTCCTACATCCAAGTTGTAACCATGTAAATCATTATGTTATAGTTAAGAAACAAACCCTTCTGGCAATGTACCCTTGCTGCCTGAAATATTTATGTGGATATGAAAATTATTTCACAGATATTGCTTTTCCAATTGGTATGAGGTGAGTTATACTGCAGTAATCACTTTCAAATGTTTAAATGCCTCTATTATTATTTGGAATTGCATTTCTGGATATACATATAGGTTATTTACTGGGAGGGATTGAATATGGGTTTTATTCCGAGGGACAATATGATATTGACAGAAGGGTAATATGATATTGACCGAGGGAGCCCAACAACCAAGTGTGAATATAATATTGCTTAAGGCAATACATCCCTATAAAATGTTACATTTGGATAATGCAAAAATTATAGTAATCTACTTTGTTTGAAGTTAAATTTCAAAGTTATGTATCAAAGCCTTTATCAATTAGTCAAGGTTGAAAATAACCAAGAAACCCAAAATAGGTTAATACACTCCAATACAATTTTTTCTCGGACACAATATGATTTTCTCATGTAATAAGCTCAAATACGATTTTTTCCCGGGGACAATACTATTTTTTCATGTAATACGATTCAATACGATTTTTATTCCTTCATAATACCCTGGGAAAACAGTAGTATTGTGGAATAATTACATGTATATATGTGCACTTTTGGGTATCCAATACAGCCGTTGTATATATTAAGAATATACTGTAACTCTACATTACTTATAGGAGTATGCAGATAATCTGTTAGAGAGTGGAGTACATGGAGCCATGTTGGTACTGGAACCCAGCTTGACTGCAGACACCCTTGCAACTGCCCTCTCTATCCCTCCATCCAAGTCATATGTTAGGAGGCATCTCATGTCTGAGTGGAACAATGTCATACATCCTGCAAGGTTGGTATATTTTCATCGCAAAACGTGCTGTATTGACGACATCTTGTTTCAGGTTTGTGTTAGTATTCTAAAGCATAACCAATGTCTAATTCAATGTTGTCTGAGTTCTAATGGATTATTTCTTGTCATTGTGACCTTGAACGTTTATATTTTAGTTGAGTTTTAATATACTATAGAGATATGAAACAGCTCATCAAAAAATTCGGTAAAAGTGGAGGTTTGATTCAAAAAACAAAATGGCCACTCAAAAATGAGCTCTCTTGAATTATTGAAAATGAGAATCTTTAAGAAGCAGTCTATTATAATGATGGGTCTAAACATATTTTATTAATTGAGATTTCTGAATCTGTGCAGGCCTTTCTAGTTCAAAACTGATTGCAGTGACCTTTTTATTCAATGAAGTAAAGATCTGAGAAACATAATAAGCGTAAGGGATGAAAAATAGGATATGTATTGAAATGAACAGGCATAAAAGCCTGAAACGATAAAACAAACCAATAAAAAGGGAATTTCATCAAAGCCTACTTTGAAGAGAAATCAGAGTCATCATTGTTCATATATATTATATATAAACTTATATTTAACATTTACATCTAAAACGCCCAAATAAATTATTCATTCATAAATTACATTATCCATTATTATACCAGCATTAGATATACAATACATCAATAAACCATTCATTGATTTAATTTAGAATCTCACAAGTTACATTGTACCTATTGTAGGATACTTTTTATGTTTTTTTTGTTTTTTTTAATTAAAGGACGATTCTCGGTTTGGAGAACAGTCTCCTGGGCTAATAATTTTTTCATGAAAAATATAGAAATATTACCCAAATTAAACTATGAATATTCAAAATAAGACATTTAAATCTACAAGATGTAAAAATAACAAATTGGTCTGAAGCAGGGATAACGCTCAATTAGACCGATTCAATAAAATAGAAGTCTCGATTTGGGGAAAGAAGTTCATCAGTGTACTGCGCTAATATTTTTTTTGCGAAAAATCTAGAAATATTACCCAAATTAAATTATGACTATTCAAAAGAAGACATTCAAATCTATATTATGTAAAAAAATCAAATTTGTCCGAAGCAGGGATAATGCTAATTTAGATTGATGAACTTCGTTCTCCAAACCGAGAATCGTCCTTTATTTCAGTTAAACATAATTATATACATGTATGGTACAAAGATGAGGTTTCAAGTTCATAAAGAGTATTTAAGTTACTCACACATTTTTCAATATACAATTTGTGAATAGATAACTACGCTATCAGTATATTTTTGTAATTCTTTACTTTACCTATTCCATATATTTGATTGGCAGTTATATTTGGGAAATGTTTAGTCCAAAATTCAGCAACTGCTTTGCATTTAACAAAATGATGCTCTAAATTATCTATTTCATCACAGCTTATACATTTGCTTGAATTTGTATGTTAATACCCCATGACCATCAGCCGTTTCAATATCTAATGGCTTTTAAATGTCACATCAAGGATTGTTTGTCTCAGACTGTTGTGGTTGGTTAGGAGGACGATGTCCTATCAAACCAAGGGATTTTGCATGACCATAATACAACATAAAATTGTTTACAATAATAGGAACTGTAAATGAAATCACTAGTACACCACACACGACACATCCTGATCCTATAATATATCCTCCAATGGTCTTCGGAACATAATCTCCATACCCTACAGTTGTCATAGTAACCAGTGCGTACCAGCATGCAATAGGTATGGATGTAATATCCAGATTTTTTGGTTCGTGGGTTATAGCTTCAGAGAAATAAATCAAGGTTGCAAATATGAGCATGCCCAAAATTAATAAGAGGAGCATGAGAATGATTTCTTTGATGCTCGCCTTCAACGTATAGATGATCACTTGATATGCCACAAGATGCTTTAGGAGTCGAAATGCCCGAAACACACGCATTATCAACAGACAGTTTGAGACATCAATCAGGGTGAATTTGTATCTGTTTTCTTCGTCATACATATTTACAACGTACTGAATCCAAACTGGTGCAATGGCAAGTATATCACTCAGGGTGTAAAATGTAAATACAAATTTGTATTTATTCGGGGAAACAGCGAATCTTATCAATAATTCCAGGATGAAGTAAATATTCAACACCATATCAATAGTCGCCAAAGCTGGATTTGTGGCACTAAGTGATTTCTGAATGTTGATGGCTTTTTTCATTTTTTGAGAAGTGTTTCCCATTGTATCTGTCTTATTACAGAGTTCTACATTTATACTCTCTGTAGCATTGATATTTTGTCTATCTGTATGTTCTGTACTACCTTTATTGCTGACATCAATCTGGTTACCTCTATTTTCCTCTGTGATGTTTAGACTCATAAGATGGGTGTTCTTGACATCTGGCTCCCCTGTTCTGTTTGGACTGTTAGTGTCATTTCTGTAGTTGTGGTTTGTATCATTTAAAGTATGGGTGTCCTTGACATCTGGCTCCTCTGTTGTGTTTGGACTGTTAGTGTCATTTCTGTAGTTGTGGTCTGTATCATTTAAAGTATGGGTGTCCTTGACATCTGGCTCCCCTGTTGTGTTTGGACTGTTATTGTCATTTCTGTAGTTGTGGTCTGTATCATTTAAAGTATGGGTGTCCTTGACATTTGGCTCCCCTGTTGTGTTTTGACTGTTAGTGTCATTTCTGTAGTTGTGGTCTGTATCATTTAAAGTATGGGTGTCCTTGACATCTGGCTCCCCTGTTGTGTTTGGACTGACATTGTTTAGATGAGTAACATTGGGGTAGCTTTTATCAACTTCGGTATCAACCATTGTATCCTCATTGCTTGAAGTGCAGTTAACTGGGATATGTTTAACCGAAATGTCCACATGACTTTGATGCATATGGGAATTCCATGTGTAATTCTCGAAGAGGTCTTCCAATGTAATTCCAGCAATTTTGGCTATGTCAGCTTCTGTGATATTACGTTTGAATTCAGGCATTGTTTCAATACACATTGTGACTATCGATAAGGCAACCAACAAAGTTGTCCAAACTCCGAAAATCTATAAGTAAAGTTAAAAGGAACAAAATAGCGATAGATTAAGTTCAATTATCGATTTGGAATTCATTTCTGAATATCATCTTTATCTTTAATTGTTATTCCCCCTTAAATGGACAGTTATTCGCTTTTCCATCACATGTTACCCCATGTTATTTATTTACATTTTCAACACTACGTTAATGAATAAACATATTCCTAATGTTCTATTAGCTATATTAATCCAAATCATATAAATCTCTGATGAGAAAATCTTGGAAATGACCAGAAAATCACATGTAATCTAAGATCAGACAAATGGTCTATAACTTACAAGGCTGAATCAGGAATATCCTAGATCAGATTCCGCCTTTTAATAGTATAATACTGTATATAGTATTTACCTTGGCTGGGTATGAGGAGAATGGATCATCCAAAAATTGCCATACACCAGATCGAAATTTCTG